AGGGCTGTTGCCTTTGTGGAATTATCCTACAATAGTCCACTGGTGTGAAGATTCAATAGTTCATTATAGTGTAAAGATTAAATGCTGCCTTCTTATCTCCTTGGTGCAAAGAATTTTCCTTTTGGATTGATTTAGCTTGACTTGGGAATTTTCCTGCAAAATGCTGAAGTCTTTTTTCCTCAAACTAAAGCGTTGTTTTCATGGGAGTTGCCTTCTGCCCAGTCTCGTTTAGGAGGTATGGTCTGCAGGCCAGCAGAAACAGCCCATTTCTACCCTGGTGGCAAGTGCCGAGACAGTTACTTTGAGGAGAATCCACACAGACAAAGGACAGTGAAACGAGAGGACAGCAGCCCATCTGGGAGGGGAGGAAAGCTCATGGGGAGCAGACAGTGAAGTCTGTGGGGAGGCTGTGACAGGGGCCACCGGGTCTTCAGGAGGAATTCACTCTGCCCAAGAAACGTACCTTTCTAGAACACCTCCCTCAAAGCCATCCGAGAAGATTTTATTTTTTAAAGATTTCAAGTTGACTAGTCAACTAATTTTGAAATTTTCTACTGCACATGAGTTACATGGGAAAGTTAACACTCAGTTAACATTGAGAGCAGTGACCAGGTGGGGAATAATTATGTGTGGGTGATCCTTCAGCATTTAACTATTAGGTAGAGTTATTGTCTAGTGATTTGCATTCTTCTTCTGATTCCCAAATCTTCCCAAGTCTTCACTATGAATTTATGCTATATGTACACAGTCATCCACACATGTACATGCATGAGAAGGCTCATCTTACCTATGGCCTAAATGACTGGTATAGAACAGAGAAGAAAGAAAAGAGACAGATATGGAGCCAGGAGACAACACAGAGATGTCCCTGTCCTGTCTCTGTCTCTGAGACGTGAGACCAGCACGGTCTCTGTGACCTGCAGCTGGGGCAGCCTCAGAAGGCAGCTGCACAGCCAGCCCAAAGGGGCTCCCGAATCCACTCGGCCTTCATGGTGATCTGGGGTGAGCAGCTGATGGGGTGGAATTTCCCGTGTGTGCAGACACTCAGAAACAAGCCCTGCCCGCAGCCCACCACGTCTCTCCACACTCTGTGTCCACCCCGCCAGCCAGGCAGCCTGGATCCTCCACGGTCTCTCGGTTGGACCCAGCTGAGATTCCTGGGCCTCCGCTCTTCTTCCCCTTATTCCTCCTGTTATAGTGACATCCGGAGTCACATGGATTCTCAGGTAATTTCCAAAGTGTAAGGAATCCTTATATTTTATGTTTATAAATCGTAAACCACTGAAATAGCTCCTCACTGAATTGGAATCCTTCAAACTGCTGTGGAAGGCTGTGGGAGGCCCGGCCAGACTTTCTTTATAGCCTTTGACTCCATGAAGGATGGAAACCTAGAGACCACAACCAGGCTGGACTCGGACTGCTTCTCCGGAGCATCCCTGAATCCAGAGCGAGTTCTCTGCTCAGCGTTACAAAGCCTGGAGGCTTCCACAGCTAATCCGCTGTTCCTATCAATCATCCACATCCCACAAGACCGCCAGCTTTGGCAATGTCTGGGCCTAGGGCCCCTTCTTATTTCCTCCTCTGGTGAATCCTTTGTAAGATTTGTTTTCTGTTAAGAAGTTGAAGCAAAAGCAAATTTGACCACCAAACCCAGACGAACCCTTTTTTCTTTGATCTTTATACTCCAGGCCCCGTACACTCACCATGTTGACCTTTCACGTCCATCACACCACACCTCAGTGCCTAAACGTGCTCGGAGTAGTCCCAACACACAGTGCTCATCACACCCTCCTTCTTCATCTGACTGTGCCTCATCTTTCAGGGCTCATGCCAGGCATAATTCTCCCAAGAAGACCCTGTAGACCTGCCCTTCCCTCCCAGCAGAACAGGACAGGTCGACTTCCTGTTACCTCCATGGTGTTATTAGAGGTTTTTACTTCTTGGGTTGTGTTACTGTCCTCTCAAATCCTCAACCAGGAGATGTGGTCTACCTTCACTTACCGTACCTGACACCATGCCTGACATATTTTCATGCTCAACGATTGCCTGTACAACTGAACTGCAGGGTTTTTTGAATTTTGGGCTGAATGTAATTACAGGGTCAGATACCATGTTACCTATAGCACTGTGTATCTCTCACCCTTTCTCAGAAGTAACACTGCCAACCAAAAGGAGAAAATTTCTATTTTTATTTCCATACAACTCTGGTTATCCACAAAATTTCTACAGAAGTTTCTTAATATAACAATGACAATAACAATGACTTCCCCTGCTATCTGTGGAGAACTTACTAAATTGAGATTAAGAACTCTACATACTTAATGCTTTTTTAAGCTCACAATAGCACAAGTGAGTCTGCTGTTACCCCACTTTGCATATGTGAGCCACAGAGAGATTGAATGTTTCTGCCCCAATCACACAACTACAAAATGCACTCATCATCTGTCAGCGCATTTTCCAGAACAGCTTGTGTGGTGGGGATTGCAAAGCTGATTGCATTCTTCAGGCTTCAGCAGGGGAAATGCCGTTTACTGTTGTGCCTTCCAAAGTTTGGTGGGGCTGCAGACCCTTTATGTGTGGTGGTTCCGCCCCAGGCAGGACCATCCAAGAGCCATTTTGTCTCCCTCTGGATTTACCCAAATTGCACTTGTACAGATCCTTGAGAGAAACTGGCTGCTAATTATGCTAATTGTGCTCGTGGATGTGTTGGGGTGGTCTCGCATACAGCAGTGCGTCTGTCCTTACAGGAGGATATCTGTTACCTCAGCTCATTGCAGGTTCACACGTGCTCTCTCCTCAACTGTCCCTAAGGTTCCCTTGCATGAAGCTCAGCTACCATCGCCAGACATCCCACTGCCCCTAGTGTGCTGGTTTGGACAGAACCACTGTTCTCAGAGAGGTGTGGATTTTCCCAATCAAAAGCTAGACAAATCCCCAATATATATTTCACATAAGCCTCTTACACTGTTAGCTTCTTCCAGCCACTTTGGTCCTGCATAAATCTCACAGTGCTGTACAATATTGCTTCTCCTTTCTAATTATCTAGTTCCCATTCTGTAGAGCTTATGCTTAAAGACTACAATGCTTTGAGACAATGCTAACAACTTATCTAGGTCTTTAGAGTCCCCTAGCAATAATCGGAGGGGAGCTCTTAAACCTTGTTTCTTCCTGCAGCACGCTGTAATTTTCTTTCAAGCTGTGTCGCATGTGAACCCACTCTCTTGAGCCTCCTGCACGCATTCCACATGGTGGCCTTAACTGCAGGGGCAGGAGACCATCCAGGGCCTTGCCAATCCTGTGATAGCCCCAAAAGAATCATGCCAGTGCATTGAGTGTGTCCTTTTCTGTGCTACAAAATTCCTTTTGCATGTTGGGTGTATAATGTTTGATGTTTTCCTGTATCTGAGAACAAACACAATGAAGTTACATGCTAGTTCTTCTAAATAGGAGGGTCAAATTTCATGCGTGGAGAGTGCTGGTAGAATATGTGGGAAAGAAAAAAAAAAAAGAAACCACAAAGCACAAGTCAATTTTGCTTGTTGTTTCCACTGTTTCAGTGAGAATGAAATGCATGTGTGTGCATAAGCTGCAGAATTAGAAATTGTGTAATCTCAGTGAAGCCGTACATGACGTAAATGCTCTCATTTTTGCATTTAAACTGTTACTGGACCATGAAAAGATTAACAGTCACATGCATGCTGGCACTTTGAAATTTTAATTTTCCTTACTTTCATTAGCAAATAAAAAAAACCATGAGGAGTCAAAGAAAAGACACAGAAGCGGGGGCAAGCTTTGTCCTTTAGTATCTTGAACAGCACTGTTTTCCCACTTTGAAAATAAGAGGTCCCACATTTTCGTTTGCATTTGGCCCTCAAAATGAAGTGGCTACCTCGCTGCCTCTTCCGGGAACTCAGGCTTCTGCTCAGTGCCAGAGTCCTCGCTGGGCCACTTCTCGCCCTTTGCGGGTACAATCGCCCGCGTGCTCTGCTCACTGCCCCGGAGCCAAGCTGCGCAAGCGTGTTTACTCGTGGGTGTGCACTGTGGATCCGTGGCCTCTCCTGGGGAGCAGGAGTTCTCTCCACTCCCATACGTGGTGAGCAGTGGCTGACATTTATTATATTTATTACCCATCCAGTAAATATTTGTGGAATGCATGAATACATGAAATGATTACCACAGACGTCTATTAAAAATAAACTCTTTAAATTTACAATCAAATTTTAAAAACAGTGCATTGGCTATTTAAACATTTTAGAAAGGCAGGGGGAAAAAACATACTCAGAAGCATGGAGGCCCACAGACTGGCTTGGAAGTTGATGATACCCAGTTTTCAGCTCAGGGCTACTCAGCACCTGTGGCTCAGATCTGCAGCACCTATCAGGCCAGGATGTTCAAGGCTGGGTCCTCGGCTTGGTGCTATTGAAATGCAGTAGAAACTTTTAAAGGACAGGGCCAGGTGAGAGGTCGCAGGTAGCCAGGGGCAGCAGTCTCTTCTCCGAGGCGCTCACTATGACTCACCTTCTCACTGCAGGCCCGGAAGCAGTGGCCTCCATCCATGGACAGGAATTTCCCAAACAGGATCTTGAATGCCACTTTGCAAGAAAGGAGATGATTTCCTCAAATCCATGCCTCCCTCCTGGGAGGATGTGCAGGCCGATGGTGGCTCCAGTGGGCGTAAAATCGGAGTGGGAGCCAGAGGCCACATGTGCCCACCCTGAGATGCATGGCAAGGTCAGTGAAGAGCAGAGAGACCTTCACCCTTTCTGGTTTAGAATCAAAGTGTGCATTCTCTGCACTACCAAGGCAACATTTTGCCTTCAGCAACACTGAAAATAACTGTAAATGATAATAATAACCCAAAATCCATCAGAACATGAAATGGTGTCACCCTTTGATTTGTTATTAGATAGAATTTCTGTAGAGTTAATAATATATAGCTGTACCTAATCATTTATAATACAAAATATATTTTCAACCTTAATAATGTAGGGCATAACTTTCTGAAGGGGATATTAAGTCGATCTATTGGGAATATTTGGAACACAAATGTATAAAGTAATTTTATATATGCTATATATTGTAAAAAAGAATCTGATTATATTTGCATAAAAGATATGGATGCAATCTAGTAAAAAAATCTACAAAATGCTTCCAGCTGCCAGTTTTTGTGACAATTTTGCCTTATCTGATTGAGTTGTCCATACCAAAGACAGAGTAAAATGGGTTTTCAGTATCCTGACCATCACTATGACCCCATGACAGCTGCTTGAGAATATCACATGATCCACATGGCCAGTTACTTTACATAGATATCAATGATAAAATAATGAAACACTACAGGTAACTTTATAAAATGAGTTTTATAAGAAAATACTATAAACAGTGCTGCACAGACAACTTCTACAACTAAGATGAAATGGACTGTTCCCCAAACTCCAGACTGCTATAACATGTAAGAATCCATTCAAATCCTTCATCATAGCAATGGATAAGAAGAAAAGTAGTGTCATCCTGTCATTTGATGTAGAAAAAGCATGTTATAGCATCGTTCATGACAAGTGATAATGCATCTATTTATGACTCCTGTAAGAACATTGTCATATGTTTTAAAATCTGACAAAACTAGCATAAATGGGAAGTTGGCCCCTAAAATCATGCAGTAGGTAAGGAATTCTGTTCCACAGCAGGAATAAGCAAACTGACAAAGCTGGCTATCACAAAAGGGAGGAAAAAGAAATAAAGGTTGTACAGGCTTGGAAAGGACCTGTCCCTATCTGCAGATGGCTGGGAATGTAAAAGCCACAGATAAAAAAACCAAGGTGAAAACCTAATTGCACTTCTGCACTCCAGTAACACTTTCTCTCATGAAAACACAACAGAAAGTGACGCTGCTAGAGACACCATAATGCTACTAGTTACAGCCGACCCTCCATGTCTGAGACCTGTCAGGAAATACGAATAAAACAACTATGCAATTCTGTTTGGAAAACTACTTTACTCTTGACAAGGTTGATAAACTTCAAAAGAATAATCATTGATTTTCCATCACATGGCGTGAATCACGCTACGTGCTCTTCCTGCAGCCCCAGGTTGGGTGTTGCCTTCCCTCTTTAGCAGTGCAGACGCTGAAGCTTAGCACGATCTGATCTGGTTTTCAGTTCGCATCACTCTGAATCTGAGTCCAAAGCCCACACGCTTTCTCTTCCACCTGCGCCTGCCACACAGGGAGCGTTATGTGTTCTCACTTCCTTCCCTGATTTCTGATACACATGTAAACTGATTACCGCCAGCTCTAACAGAAAATGTGGAAACACTTGGAAAACATGTTACTTTTTAACACCCTAGATGACAACTTCAGGATAGAAGCTGTGGAACCATTGCTGATGGTGACACTGTCACATGGCTGTGAATTTCACTAGCCTTGTTACACCCATCCTTCAGCTGTTTCCTGACTCTACTCCTGAATATAATATTTACATATTTTACGAGTAGAGAAGATGAGCTTCTGCATGATCTAATTTTAATTGTTTAATTACAACAAAAATATGTACATTGCGTGCGTGCGTGTGTGTGTGCATGTGTGTGTGTGTGTGTGTGTGTGTGTGTGCGTGTGTGTGTGTGCGTGTGTGTGTGTGTGTGCGTTTGTGCATGCAGAGTAAGGCGACTTTATTATTCTCCCATCTCACCAGAAATTCTGGAACGGGAAGTTACACTGATGAAAAGGACAGATACGAACATTTCCTACAAATGGCTGATAGTTTCAAGGACAATAGAGAATTAAAGGAAAAATGGGTGAAGAGAACACATATAAGCACACACACAAGGATACAGTAACAGTGAAAGTTACTCATGTGAAGACAATGAAAGTTATTGACTTGAAAATGAAACATCCTTAAATTTTTACAAAAGTTATGTGAATATTGGATGCCACTATTCAATAGTTTGACCAATTTGGATTATAAAGTAGAATTCCGAGCTCTAGCTGAACAACAAATATGAAGCATTTCATGTCTTCTCTAAGTTATCCAAAACGCAGCCCAAAAATACAAACGATATTGCTCTCGTGGTGCTCCTGCCTTGGAGCTGCTGACCCTGGACTGAATCCTTTGAAAGGGAGTGCCAAGTACCCTCTCCTCCTTTCAGGTCCCCCTGTGCTAGCACCAGCAGTATAAGGTAGCATTAGATTGGAAGACGGCCGCTTGATGACAGAGAAGCTGGCCACCCCGTATCAGGTCCCTGATGTCTCCCACACTTTATTTTAAAGGATGGTAAAAGCAAGACAGGGAACAGCATGGCTTGCTCACAGAGATCTGAGCAGAGCTTGAATCTGTGGACGTCCAGCCGGACCTCCTTCCCTCCCCGCTGCTGCAGGGCTGATGTTTGATGGTGTTAACATTGCGTTTTCTCTTTTCCTTCATCTAAAAATGGCCAGCTGAGACTCAGTTTTCCTGTTTTGTACCTAGAAGAATGAAGAGCTCTTGCAAGATGCTGGCTCGGCTGATACAAGCAAACTCTACCCTGCGGCCCAAACTGAAGAAGCCAGAGGGAAGCAGCTGGCCAGAATCAAAACCCGAGTGCTCAAAACAAGAGACACAGGCCTCTCCTCCCTCTCTGGAGTATCTCAGCAGCCACCCAGGCTTCTTTAGGGGAACGAGAAGCACTCACCACCTCCAGCTGGTTTGTGTGGCCTCCACTGACTGTACCCGGAGCTCGCCTTTCCTCACCTCCCCGTCTCCTCTTCAGGGGATCAGGTGCTTCCTTTGTAGGGGACACAGACAGTGCCCCAGCCTTGGCTGCAGTGAGGGTGACAAGGAAAATAGAGCCCAAAGGCAGCAGCTTGACAATGACCTGTAGCTGTCTTACATTTTTAAACTGTCCCAACATCTTAAAAAAAAAAATTCAGAACTGACTGAATTCTGTGATAAACGAGATTGTAGAGATGTATTATTAATGTCATTAATGGCAATCCTAGGTCAGAATAAATGGTAATAAATAAATGTATCTTGGAGACTCCACAGAAGCACCTGAAAGTTAGACAGATAGGAAATTCATTAGAGCTGTAAAGGACACTGAACTGGGTTTGTGCAAGTACAGGAGGCCAGGAGGAGATTCCGCACACAGAGCCCGGCGCACGTCAGAGACGATGACATGCTTCTTTCGGCTGTGAGGCTTGCAAGGATTGGGACACCCCCCGCCACCACCACCCGTGCTGATATCAGCATAATGACTTGCAAGTTAGTGTTAAAGCTGAAGAGGTGATACTTCGAACTTAATGGTGAAGAAATAAATTATGACATTTTCTGTTGTTATGACATCATGATTCAACAGACACCTTGTTTCTCATAGTTCTCATCTTACTTGAACCGCTGCAAATCCTCATAAATGTCCACAGTAGATAAATTTAGGTGCGATCTTGAGGACTCTGATGCAGAGCGGCTGAGTAGTCTGCCTGCTAGGAACGAAGACTCGCAGGCTAATGTCCAGGCCTCCTGAGGTCAGCGTGGCAGACTGTGTGTAACAAGAAGCCTCTTAACAAGTGTGTCCTGGCCCAGTGACACCAGCATGATCCTGACCTTTCCCTCAGCTTGACTACACTTTACAGAGGCTCCCCTCTGTCGGTCTCTGCCTATCCTATTCTTACAAGACTTACTTTAGAAAACATAATTGTCACAGTACATGGGTAAAATGCTTAAAGGTAACTTTAGCAAAGCCACTTACAGTTCCAGAACACCGAATCTTGTGAGTGCACTCTGTAGCATAAAATTCACCACGTGTCTTCTTACTGCTTCCTTTCTTTCCTGACCCACACGCCTCTCCCATCAGCTGTCAGCTCTGCTTCCCTCCTTCCCCGTCCTCTTCCTCCTTTTGGGAGCTCTGTCCCTCGGCTCTCCCCACACACGAGCGCCCAGTGCTGTTTCACTCTTTACCCCTGGCAGCCAGCACTTCTGGGTCTCACACAGACCCAGAGTGGCACATCATCCTCGCCCTACAGAGCATGTCCCTGGGAGACCACAGAGGCGGCACAGCTGCCTGCCCAGCATCACACTCTCCACATCCCTGTGCCGGGCCCTTGCCCATCTCTTTAATCCAGTATTGTCTAATCAATGTCCCCCACTGCTTGGCATTTCACACACACACACACACACACACACACACACACACACACACACACGAAAGGAATGTCAGCTGTGCCTCCAACAGCCCTTACTTGTCTGCTTTGATTGAAGAATAGCTGCTTTCAGATCCCCTAGAGACACCTCCCCAATCCCACAGATGGGTTCGTGACACATTCGTGCCTTTGGCTCCTTCACAACGTGAATGGTCAGCACTTCAAGTTCATCAGACAAGTCTTCCATGGGTCTTTTTGTACCTCTTCCGCGCATCTGATTTCTCTTCACCCCTCAAATCATCCATCTTTCACGTTCAGCTTCAGCGGATTATCTTGCTACTGCTTCCTAGAGAATCCAGCGGTGTCCCATGGTATGTTGCCATCTGACCTTTAGACATCATCCTCGTCCTACAGAGTATGTCCCTGGGAGTCACCAATGAGGTTCTTCTTTACCCAGGCTAAGCCCTCCCCTGGCACCAGGTAGCATCTCCACACTCTTAGCCAGCGCTTAATAAATTTGCTCCATTGTTCGTCCCCTCTGCTCGCTGAGCTGTGCTCACCCTCCTCTGGGGTGCATAACTGCCTGTCGAGGCTCACACAAATGCAAAGAAACGTCGCTCTACATTGAGTCCTCTCCAGATTTCTCCGTGTCCCTCATAGTGCCTCAAAATCACATTTTCAAAAAGTGGTCTACACATTGGCTTTCTCTTCCGTGACCCTTCTAACCCTGTATATTAGCTTCAGTCTTCACCAAACAAGTAAAATCTCTTTCCTCAGGAATCTCTTGCTCAGGAATTTTAGTACTGTGGGATTTAGGACGGCTTCTTCTATCAGCTTCAATTCCGATTCGGTTTTATTTTCTTCCTTAAAAAAATGCTAAATCTAATATTATTTCCTGTAAAAGAAACCTCTCCAAGGTAAAATTGTAAAAACTTAGGCTGCAAAATAGAAAACATGTCCCAGAAACCAGCTGTGTCAGTTAGAAGCCGCCGGGGGTGCTGTTTTAGGCAGGCGTGCGCTGCACTGCTTGACCTGTAGCGTTGCAGTTACCATGAAAAGCGTTGGCTGTAAGTTTTCTTTGGCTAAAAAGTAACTCAGCCCTAACTTATTAACCACAGCACTGAGTCCAGGACTTAAATCTAAAAAAGTTTGTTGGGCTTTTGGACAGAATCGGTCTTTCAAGGTATCTGCCAAATCCGCGTGCTTTCCCAGCTGCAGAACCTGCCCTGCATGTGCCAGGCCGGTCACCCAGAGTTTCCTGCGCACCTTGTGTGCCTCTTTGGGTAGGTTTCTGAACATTTTCTTCAAGGATGCATGGTCCACAGGGCTGGATAAAAGCACAGTTATCCTGAATACACAGGATAATGTGGTGTGTTTGGCAGGAAAGGACAAGCCTGGTGTCCGTGGCAAAAGCAGCAATCCAGGAGGTGGTGGACTCCCCAGGGAGTATAAATATCATTTAGCAAATATCATTTAGAACAAACCGACCTTGTTCCCCAGCATGCGCAGATCCCTTGCATGGAACTGGAGCTCCCGCAGGCAGGCTCTAGTGTCCCTCACTGGCTGCTGGGGTTGGCACAAACTCCCCTCCCCTCCTCTCCCCTTCCCTCCCCTCCCCTCCCTTCCCCTCCCCTCTCTGTAATCATCTGAGCAGAAGCATTCTGCTGACTTAGGTCCAAAGGCTCATTTTTAAAACCGAATCTGTGTATAGAAAGGCAGCATAAGAACCAGAAGGGGTCAAAAATAACAGGATTATGACAGGGGTTACATTGCAAACCTCCTATGAAAACATGTCCCTCTGGTTAGGTAATAGAGACAGAAACAGGCCGGACTCATGATCAAGGAAAATTATCCAGTCACAAATTTTATCACTCTCCATCACTTTAAGTAGACGCTTCCTTCTTCTGTGGTGGGAGAATGGTGGTCATTTGGCAGAAGTTGTGTGCTTATGTCATTAACAGCTTCCAAGTTCTAATAGTGGTCAGGGAGCATCTCAGAGTCAGGGACTCACCCAATATCATAAAGCTCCTGTAACAAAAAATATTTGATCTTTTGCTTTTTCTCAAGAGAGAGGTCTAAGCAATAGTCATTAAGCTTAGCCTCTGAATTGATTGCATTATGCAAGAAGATTCACACCTTTCTTAGACATCGAAGGTGTGCTCTGGTCTGTATCAGATACCGGTGAAGATTCAGATGGGGACACAGTGGAGCTGCGACAGCCTTGCTCCAAGCAGAGAGATGAGGCCGTTTCTGAACATCCACGTACCATGAGCACAGGCCAGCACCTTGGGGGGCAGGAGGGTGCAGTGTAACCCAGCAGTCATCCTCTGGCTGGCTGCACCCCTGGAGGAAGAGCCCCCTCCAAGTCTGTGCTGACTTCTGCTCTAGGACTGGTCACACAGAAGTCAAGCCACAGACCAACATGGAGAGAGGAACACACTCTTGAGCATTTTATCTTCTCCAAACCTGCAAACTCTCAACAAGCATAGATTAATCCATGATGAGTAGGGTGTCCCAAGACCCTGTCACCTTCAAAGGCCCCACTTCTGGGCACATGAGACTGTTGTGGACATTTTAAATTAAACCCCAACACTAGCTCATGTTCAGCAAATTCAGTGAGCAAAAAGTCATCAGTATCACAATAAGCAAGGTACTCTGGAGGATTTCAAAATGGCCAAACCCCTTCCAGAGGACACTGCAGGACAGTAGGAGGCTCAGCACAGTCCCAGATGGCATAGAGGTCATCACAGTAAGGGTGTACAATCGTCTCTGACATGAAATGAAAATTACTTCTGATGTTCCCTTTTGATTGGGATGAAATAAGGAAGGATTACAGATCAATTGCTGCAACAAGCTGTATTTATTTGCTGCAATATAAATAGCACATCTGGAAATGCAGCTGCGGTTGGCATCATCACAGACTAAGTTTGGAGTAATTAGCTGTCACTTGGCACAGTCCACCTGACTCTGTTCTAGACTGTTGGGTAAGTTAAATAAGGACATAGTGGGAATCACCACCATGGTATCTCTCAAATACTTGATGACGTTAAAGTCTGCACTCCCCCAAATGCAAAGTTATTTTTATTACCTTAGCAAGATGCATCAGTTTCTGGGATGATATTTGGTCTTTCCTGTCTTAGACCCTCATCCCGTGAAGGAGATTCTATTCACCTAGAGGATACTCACTCTGACCACACAGCCTGGGACTAGCTCAAGCGTACCAGGATGCTCATGTTAGACCCACTGAAGAAGTGCTTTTTTTCTAACAGACACTTACAAAGATGGTGTAGGATGTAGCAGAAACAGGGCAGGATGCAGGACCAGGAAGAGCGTTGTCATCCTTTGGCCTGAAGGGATGCGAGGGAGAAGGACGCTGGGAGAGGAGCACCTGCAAGGACCACAGCTTGTTCTCCTATGGAGAGAAGCAGGCGAGCCTTGCCACAAAGCCACCTCTCGTGTCCTCTTGGTACTCTCTATTGTATAGGCCAAGGGTAAGCTGGAGGACCAGGTGGGCCTCGATGTCACTATATGGGCAGCAAGGTCAGGAGAGGACGGGAGACAAGGCCTGGCGCTCCTGTGTTAAGAACCTTCTCTTGTGCTCCTGTTCCCACTTTGTAGGCAACTTGATGCTTTACTGTTGGCTTCCACGAAATCCCTACACTTCCAGATTTCCTACAAGGACACGTGTTTTTCTTTCTGATTTTTACTTCGGGAGCTCTTCCAATAGCCTCAAATTCTGTACATAATTTCCTTTCTGCTAGGGTGGCATCCTCATTCCCAACCAAATTTAAGCAACCCAAGAATACTGCCTCCCTTACGTGGGGTCAATTAGCCAAAAAGTGATCTGTGAGAAACAAATAACTCATCTTTTCCAATTCCTCTGGTCAGAAATGAGAACTGAACACAGAGAGCAGACTGTTTTGCTTTTGTTTCCTTGGCAAGCCTTGGTATTGCATGAACCCTCGTGAGAAGTAGGCAGTAGTAACATTTAGTCCATCTAAGAACACAGCATGTCAAGAGAAACAGAAGCGTGTGCATCCAGTGTTAACACAGACGACCACAGGCTTGCTAATGGAGTGTTCCTTGTTAACCCTTCTCTCTGGGCACAGGAATCTAGACAGCAGCAAGTATGGTGGGGAAATCCAAGTTATATACAGATATGGAGAAATTTATTGCTTCGAGACAGATGAAAAGTGAGGGTTGAAAAATAAATTAATGTACACATTAAAATAAGAACTACCTGTGATTCACTGTGCAGTTAACTTTGCACTGTAGACAGCAAAATAAGGATCAGTCACATTGATTTTGAGAAAAACTATGGCAATCTTGTCTCCTATCTGCACTGTTTTTATTCTAAATCTGATCATGTTCTCACTTACTAAACTCTTCCTGTCCCTACTGATGGGTGCTCGTGGGCTGCTTCTTGGCATCTGCTGTTTTCTTGGTCCTCAGGGTTGCATTTGCCTGCTCAGAGCTTACCTGACAGCCGTAGCAATGATCCCAGGCACAAAGCCTGAAGCACTTACTGGCCCACCATCCACGAAATCCTTCGCTTTTGCAAGGGTCTGACTTTGTTTATTGGCTTTGTATTATTTCCACTTTACAGATAAGGAAGTGAAGGTTCGGGATGCTTGTCTAAATCCACAAGCTGGAATCACGACATGAGTCTCTTTATTCCTAAAGTTAGTGCTCTCAGCTCTCGTTTTGTGTTCTGTCTTCTAACCAAACCTGTGACCTGTGACCGGTGACCTGGGAAACGCTTTGGCTTCCACATAGGCATGTGCTTTTTTCCCTCTCTCCTCTGAGCTGAGAGTTCTGTTCCTTACTTCTTTTCTGATGTATCATGCTATCTGTGCTACAGTAAGGGAAGGGAGTCTATCCCACCAATTGTGTTAGGAAGAATAATTTACTAGTTAGGGTGAAAGCTGAATACAGTCCTTCTATTAAAGGGGATGCATTGCTGTGTCCCAGGCAGGAGCATGACATGTCCCTGTGGGCTCAAGGATGGATACATTTTACCACCCAAGCCTGAAACATCTTTCCAGGCAGGATCCTGAGCTGCTCCCTGCTCATATCACTCTGGGAGCAACTGGTCATCAGGACACGCAGACCACAGTCACCAGGGTAGGCTCAGGCAGTCAGAGAGCTGCTGCTCCATCAGGCCCTGCTTCTCTCCAGAAAGTTCTCCCCTTCTTCACACTTGCTGGCTAGGAGAGGGAGAGTTCTGTCTTTACTGCTTGCTTTCCCTATATTCCATGCAAAGAGCAGTTATGTTCGAAAATAAAAACAAAGTCCAGCTATGAACACATGCACTATTTTAGCTACTAAAAATGTTTTCCTCAATAGCTTCTTTCATCCAAACAGCTTTACAGTGTTTAGAAAAGATAACTCACTAAGCTTTGCTATATTCTCAGGCATCTCCCAAGTGCTCAAAGTGTCTTCTTAAGGTTCTGACACATTTGACACATTCAAGGAGAGATTTTAATCCACTGAAAACCAAGGAGAAGTAGGCTGAGCCATCTTGCTACAATCAGTGGAGGTGAACTGTAAATGTGCTCTGTGGTGGACCTGAAATCCGTATGAGTGATCATCCAACAGCTTCTAATAATGAGGAGATGGATCAGCCCTCCTGTTACAGCCCTCTGAAGGACCCCAAAGCACAGTACCTTTGTGCCCACCTTGGTTTTCTTTCTTGTTTAAGTTTAAGGAGTTGTTTTAAACAGAAGAGTTTGACTACAATCTCCATGTAACTAATTTCTAATCCACTACTGGTACTGGAGATTGGTGGAAAGCTTAAATTCCACAGTGGGACAGAGGTCATTGAGTTCCTGGTTTGGGTTGAATGGATTCCATCTGGGAAGAAAGATTCAGCATATCTCACACAGGAAAGCCAGGATGTAGAAGGCTGCCCTGGGGCCTTTTCCCATACTCTTTCTGGTACTGGGGAGGTTGACAGAGACTGGGCCATCTTCGTCTGTGACAGGACTGCAGAATCTGGGGACAGAAATAAAGACTTAACTCTGTGCACGTTTCTCTGGTTTCTTATCTAATTCCAATTTAAGTTCTGATTCCTGCACTATATTTTTAAAAGCACATGGCCTTAATTTCATATATATTGAACAGTTAGAGTGCAAGCTCTAAATAAAGTATATGCAGCGTGCAGCACGAGTACCCTTTCACACAGATGACTGCTGTCTGGCCACTTATATTATCTTCCACAGGAGTCCACCTGCGGCAAATAAATGGTGTAGAAATGAGTGGAGCAGCTTTATGGCTTTTTGGTGATTTTTTTAGGTAATATCTCTGATCATTCAAATACTTGCACACAAAATGAGTTTTCAAAATGGGAAATGGCATGGAACATTAAGGTAATGGGCTCAAAAATTGAAAGCCAGATTTATCTAGCAAATAAGATAATTTCCAATTGGTTTGAAACTTCACATTTAATAAAAGGATATTCTTGTAGAAATAGCTGCAGTATCAAGAGTTACTAGTCAATTATGCAAATATTTGTCCCAAAATATTTGAT